AAAGTATATGTCATGTGATTAAGGTGCAGGAAAGTATTATGTAAATACAGTTGTGTGTACTATATGTATATATTTGATATTGCTTCTTTTAAGTTTATATATATTTAAGATGTTATATTTACAGTATTGCATTCAGTATGTTCATATATATGCATATATGAGCACTTATTTTTGAATTCCGGGGCGGAATTGAATGCCTCATGAGTATTCAGCATTCTCCTCTGAGGAGGGGGCAGTTGTTGTAAACCTGATATCAGTGAAATTTTATGATAGTGATTATTTCTTTTATACAACAACAACAACAACTATTTCATACACTTGTGACAATTTTGGATAATTAAGTAGTACCATTTTTAAAAACCTTTGATATAATTTGTTATAATTTGATGTTTTTATAAAAGCCACTTATCATGTGTCAATTATGCACAGTATCAAACAATATAACAGGGTCATAAAGAAACATCACATGCCTGGGGCTATGTCCAGCCAGTGTCTTTTAGCTACTGTGTTAAAGTCTTATCTGTTTGTTAAGTGTTAATTACAATTGACCCATTTAAGTATAATTACCACATTGTACATATTCATTTGTGATACATACATTATGCTTACTTATGTTGTCTGCTAGATTAGTAATAGTTACATGTCTGAATAAGTTATCATTCTTATTAATCTATACATATTTTATTCTTTTTAATGTTAAGAAAAGTCATGATTTTGTATGTATTTTGCATTTTATTATTATTGTATTTGGTTATAATATTACTATAACAACCAGCCATATTTGATGTGATAAAACCTGCAAGGGTTAATGTTTAGACCAGAATTTAAAACACTTAATACTTACTTTTCCATCATGAAACTTATATCATAAGAAAGAGAATTTTATGTAGATTATGATTCCATGCTTTATATTTTATTTTATTGTATGAGTTTAAAGATACACAAGATATATAAATTTATTTGTTAAGAATTAAAGGGGTGGAGCCTAATTGTTATGTAAACAATGCCTTAGGTGTCAATCATCTGTCAATCTAAAATAGGGCAAACTCCTAATAGGGCTTATCAGCCAATCAATTTTGCTGTTTTATGTATTAATATGTTTAAGTAATTTTAATTGGCCTGTGCAAATTAGCCAGTTACAATTCTTCTCAAGATCACTATAAAAAGGGGCTGCACAGGGCTTATCGGCAGTATCAGGAGAGAGAAGAACAGACTAAGATTAACTGTGGAATTTTTGCTGTATAATTACTTTGGTAATTGATTTAATATTAACATTTAATTTGGACACTTAGAAAATTTACAACCTAACAGATTTTGGACAATCATTTTGAATTTAATGTACTGTCTTGAACATCAATGTTAGAGAACTTCAACTTGAATAAATGAATATGTTGATCTTTATTCTACTGCTGATGATCATGAACTTTATACTGAATTTGGTCATTTTTGGAACTGCTTTAACAGGAATTGGACTTTACATTTACTTTTATGTATGGGATCAACCATGTATTAGTTTTAACTGTGGAGTTGTATGCGGATATTAGATATAAACTATAAAGGCTGGCATATTTTACAATGTACTGATTTTAAATTGACACTTCTTATGAATATTTACACTTGAATAATAAATAGTGAAAACTGTGCGTGTGTGAAGTCGTAATTGCAACCAGTTGTGAGGAAATTTGGTTCCTGGCAAACCATACAACAAGCCAGTGGTGTCGGCTCCTGACAGATATACATAACGCCCAAAACTATAATTTGAAAGAACCCTGTAAGCTTGGCGGAACCGCGAAACCCAGGTTTACGACATTTATAATGATTAAAGGTTTGATAATGGTCATGTTATTGGTTGAGCTTGAATATTTAGCTTGAAATTTTGGCTTTATAACAATGCCATTATGAAAACAAAATCTAATTATTGACATCATAGTAACACAGCTTTTCCCTGCTGTCGTTGCTTATGAGTCAATAAATAAAACTTGTAAATATAAGTTGCTGGATAAGGCATTTTAATTGGAATCAAAATATAATCCTCATGATAATCATGCAATTCAGCTGGTAGATATTTAGATATGTAGATGTTTATTTAGATGATGTGGAGTCGAAGACGAAGCCTCATTCACTTACATCTGACTTGAAACCTGAGTGCATACATGGGAGGAAAAGGTTGTTTGGCAATAATAATAAAACCTTAAGTGAAGCAAAATTAAATCTAAGCTGCAGTTTTCCCTCTTTTTCTGGGGATGGTATAATCTGTTTGTTTAAGTTATATTAGTTTTATTGGTTTTAAATTTCTAATTACAATATTAATAATTCTATCAAATTTTTCTGAATTTCAATATCGCAATGAGTGAATTTCATTGGGCAGCTCTCAGGATTAATAGTAAAATATTAAAACATTTCTCAGGTGGTGAGTCAAGCTCAGCTTAAAAAACATTGTTAGAAGAAAAAAAGGCATATAGTGTTGTTCAAATTTAAGTAGGAATCTAAGTAGGCACTCTATATGCTTGCGTAGAGTGCCAGATAAAAAACTTGAAAGCTCTATATTTAGCAGATTGGGCAGGAAAGACTATATTTAGCAGACAGGACAGGGAAGAGTGTAGTGTTCGCTGTGTAAACCCTAAACATAGTGATGTTTCAAAGGAGTAGGGACTTTCTAGAATTTCTATATCTTGCATTCTACTCTCTTATGTTTTAATGCCTTAAAATATTCAGTACTATCTTTAATATAACTTCACATATATTTGCCTATAGAAATTTTTCGACCATATTGGATTGTTTTTTGATTTATGTTAATTTTATTTTGATGTCTAATTTGTTTTTAACTAATAATGCTACAAATTTCAGACTTTTCCCATCTTTAGAAGTGTTGTTTGATATATCATCCATTTATGATAAAAAAATTTGGAAGCCATTTTAGTGGTCACTTTAAATGGCTAGTTCAATGGTCAAGGTCAGGTTTTTCAGTTTGGTATCTACCTTTATCGGATTCAGCATACCTTAAATAGTCTATATATACCAATATACCACTTGTACTACAAAATGCCTATGGCATCTTATAGAGGGCCAAATTCTGAAAATCAGTCCTGTCTATAATGCAAAAGAACTTTAACTTATTTTATATCCGAAATATTTCAAGAAAATCAAACTTGAGAAATATGAACTAAACTTCTATGAAAAGAAAAGAGATTCAAGATTCAAGAAATAGTTCACATGCTATTTACGATCAATGGCTTTTTTCCTTCACAATACTTTAATTTTGAATACATTTTTTTATAATTTTCATAAATTTCAGCATGAATCTGGAGGCATGCTGCTTTAACTTTTATCTATTTCAACTTGTTTTTTATATCCGAACAAATTCAATGCCATTCCTTCAGTCATTATTACAAATCTGTTTGAATGCTATAAAATGTCATTAAGGTATGTTACTTTGAATTTCCTTAGTTATTAATCCATATTAAACTAGAAATGTGTCATCATGCCACGGATGCCCCGGCATGCAGCCAAAATTTCAGATGTTATAAAATTTAGTTCCAAATTTGTTTGCACAAATTATTTTTTTTCATTTTAAGTTCAAAGCCCTTAAAACTTTTCAATGTTAACACAAACCATTTTCATACAATGTTCAAGGCACTGAAACTATTCAGTCTTAACCTTTTAAAAATAGCATATTGCATATTTGTAGTCAAAATAATGGCTACATACATTTCCAACATTCAGAAAATCATTGAACCACGACCAAATTCAAACTTAAACTGCTTATTTCTAAGATGTATCTATATTATTTTCAAAGTGAAAGGGACATAACTCTGCCAAAAAATCATCAAACAATGACCAAATTCCAACTTGACCAAAAGCAGCCCATTCCTTTGAAATATCCATATGTCAAATTAGAGTTGAATATGTAACACTGCTTGGTAGATAATGAACAGAAACTGTAAATTTCATATTATTTTCAAAGTGAAAGGGGCATTACTCTGCCAAAATTCATTGAACCATGACCAAATTCGACCTTGGCCTGGGCATTCCAAAAACATATCCATATGTCAAATTTGAGTTGAATGTGTTGTACTGTTGGGGAGATAATAAACGGAAACTGAAAATTTCATATTATTTTCAAAGTGAAAGGGGCATAACTCTGCCAAAAATTATTGAACCATGACCAAATTCGAACTTGACCTGCGCATTCCTTTGACGTATCCATATGTCAAATTTGAGTTGAATGTGTTGTTCTGTTGGGGAGATAATGAACGGAAACTAAAAAACATTCATATTGTTTTAAAAATAAAAGGGGCATAACTCTGCCAAAAATTATCAAACCATGACCAAATTCAAACTTGACCTGTATTTTCTCATAACATATCCATATGTCAAGTTTGAGTTGAATGTGTTGTACAGTTGGGGAGATAATGAACGGAAACTGAAAATTTCATACTATTTTCAAAGTGAAAGGGGCATAATTCTGCCAAAAATTATTGAACCATAACCAAATTTGAACTTGACCTGTATTTTCTCATGACATATCCATATGTCAAGTTTGAGTTGAATATGTTGTATCGTTGGGGAGATAATGAACGGAAACTGAAAATTTCATATTATTTTCAATGTAAAAGGGGCATAACTCTGCCAGAAATCATCGAACCATAACCAAATTTTAAGTTGACCTGTATTTTCTCATTACATATCCATATGTAAAATTTGAGTTGAATGTGTGCAACCGTTCTTAAGATAATGAACGGAAACTGATGATGACGGAATGACAGAATGACGGAAGGACGGAATGACGGAACAGAGTTACACTATATGCACCGGCCATTACATGGCTGGGGCATAATAATCATATCAATGTATAGTAACACGCAATCAATGATCATATCAATCATAAATAAGGGTTTTCTTTAAGATAACAAAAAGTAAACATTGCATTTGATAAGGTCCCCCATCATTCAAGTGAAAATGCTATGTTCGTTATATACTTGAATTTAGACATATTTTACCTGTTTCGCCAGAAACCCATTTTTCTGTCTCATATTCTTTTCTACCAGGTAAGCTTGATCCTTCTGAACCTTTAAAACATATTGCAAAAGAAATAAACAAATAAATAATATAAAGTTTTCTGAAATATTCCAAAACTGATTTGATAAAAACTTTTTAAGACATTCGAAATAATAATAAGTCGTACAATACATTTCAAGACGTTCTTCAAAAACAAAACAAAAACAACAAAAAAAACGACAAAAAACAGTTACAAAAACAAAAATCAAAGAAACATGATGAATATGATAAAAAAAGGAGTCATCCACCTCATTTTCAAGTTATCGGTCCTTGAATTTGTTTTTTTTTTATTATAATCTAAGGCCATTAGAAAAGATAGATAACTAATTCAAAAGCTAACCTATTGGTTTATTTATTTTATCAATGGTCACAATGCACCCATTTTAGAAAATTCAATTAGACAAGTTTGTTCTATTAATTAAGAATGGAAACTGAATATTTTTAATGAGTAGGACATATTTTTCAAGAACAAGAGCCACCGCCGGGCGGGGGCAACGCTCGACTGTTTACTTTTTCTAAAAGCAAACATAGAAAGGTTTGAACATATCTTAACGTTGCCTTTTTATAAATTTAGTTGGTCTGTCTTGTCACATTAGTTTTGTTTATCTATTTTGTATATATATATATGTGAATAGAAACACGCAATTCTATAAATAGAATCACGCAATTCTATAAATAGTAACACGCAATTCTATTAATAGCACAATTCTATAAATAGCACCACGTAATTCTATAAATAGTAACACGCAATTCTATAAATAGCAACACGCAATTCTAAAAATAGTAACTCGCAATTCTATAAATAGAAACAAGCAATTCTAAAAATAGAAACACGCAATTCTATAAATAGAAACACGCAATTCTATAAATAGTAACACAATTCTATAAATGGTAACACGCAATTCTATAAATAGTAACACGCAATTCTAAAAATAGAAACACGCAATTCTATAAATAGTAACATGCAATTCTAAAAATAGAAACATGCAATTCTATAAATAGAAACACACAATTCTAAAAATAGTAACAAGGAATTCTATAAATAGAAACACGCAATTCTAATAATAGAAACACGCAATTCTAAAAAAAGAAACACGCAATTCTAAAAATAGTAACACGCAATTCTATAAATAGTAACACGCTATTCTATAAATAGAAACACGCAATTCTAAAATATAAACATGCAATTCTATAAATAGAAACACGCAATTCTAAAAATAGTAACACGCAATTCTAACACGCAATTCTAAAAATAGTAACACACAATTCTAAAAATAGTAAAACGCAATTCTAAAAACAGAAACAAGCAATTCTATAAATAGAAACACTCAATTCTAAAAACAGTAACATGCAATTCTATAAATAGAAACATGCAATTCTAAAAAAGTATCATGCAATTCTAAAAATAGAAAAAACGCAATTCTTTAAATAGAAACACACTATTCTTAAAATAGAAACACGCGATTCTAAAAATAGAAACACGCAATTCTAAAAATAGTAACACGCAATTCTAAAAATAGTAACACGCAATTTCTATAAATAGTAACACGCAAATTCTTAAAATAAAACACGCAATTCTGAAAATAGTAACACACTATTCTTAAAATAAAAACAGGCAATTCTAAAAATAAAAACACGCAATTCTTTAAATAGAAACATGCAATTCTAAAAATAGAAACACGCGATTCTATAAATAGAAACATGCAATTCTAAAAATAGTAACACGCAATTTCTAAAAATAGAAACACCTAATTCTATAAATAGTAACACGCAATTCTAAAAATAGAAACAAGCAATTCTATAAATAGAAACACGCAATTCTCAAAATAGTTACACGCAATTCTAAAAATAGAAACAAGCAATTCTATAAATAGAAACACGCAATTCTATAAATAGTAACACGCAATTCTAAAAATAGTAACACGCAATTTCTAAAAATAGAAACACGTAATTCTATAAATAGTAACACGCAATTCTAAAAATAGAAACACAATATATATATATATATATATATACACACACACACACACCAATAAATATATAATTATGGTCATATAATGCACAAATCTGAGAAAATTCAGTAATTTAACCTTCAAGGTCAAGGTCATTAAAGAGCCCAAGCAAATTTGGGTTTTATAAACAACAAGGTCTGGTCCTTAAGAATGTTCTGTTATAATATGAAGTTGATCTCTTCAATAATAGCAAAGTTACAGTCAGTTGCAGCCAAAACAATGGAAATTTCAATAATTTGACCTTCAAAGACAATGTCATTAATGAGTGAAGGTCAAGGTCTGTCGGGTTATATTTAAGAGTTATCCTTGAAGATTATTATGTTCAAGTTTCAAGACAATCCATTCAAAAATAACAAAGTTACAGCCAATAATAGCCAAAAAATGAATATTTCAATAATTTGACCTTCAAAGTCAAGGTCATTTATGAGTGAAGGTCAATGTCTGTCTGGTTATTTTTAAGGGATATCCCTGAAGATTATTATGTTCAAGTTTGAAGACAATTCATTCAAAAATAACAAAGTTACAGCCAATAACAGCATGAACAAGCAAAATTTGGACTTTTAACCTTGAAGGTCAAGGTCATTTATGGATGAAGGTCAAGGTTAGTGTTGTCTACTCAAAGGTCTTGTCCCAAGGGTTGTTGTGGCCAAGTATGAAGACAATACACCAAGAAATAAAAAAGTTATGATCCAGGTACAAGATTGCAGACGGCAACGGCAACGCCGTCGCGACTATAACAATACCTCTACTTTTTTTTCAAAAAAAAAGTCGAGCTAAAAATGACTTATCTGTAAGTGAAGGAAAAATAGACAACTTAATTAACCTATTTCCAATGCATATGCAATACGTTTTTTGTTGGAATTAAATGTTTTGTTTTGGACCCAGACGATTAACAGAGCGAATTTAAGTAATTTTTTATTCATTAAAAAAAGTAAAGGCGTGTGCAATAAATTCACCTTTTCAAAAAGTCAAGAATGACACATCTGTCCCCAAACAACTGAAACCGGCGGCCACTTGGTAAGTATAAAAAAAAACTTAAATCTAAAACAAACAAGTTATGAAAATATATAACACTTCTATCGTCTTGATATTGGCTTTGATACATGTGGAAATTTGCCATGCCAGAGTTAAGTTCATACTTGCATTCAAATATCATTTATGTACATTTTGTTATTATCAGGTACTGTTCGTTTCGGATAATTATTTAGTGACGCGGTGGTCAAGTCCACTATAACGGTGTAAAACAGTTATCATATTGTGTTTATTATCTTAAAATTAAAATATCGACAAATTTACCAACTTTTGGCGTAACGCAATAGGTAAAGTTGTCTGGTAAATTTCTAGTTACATATCAATGCAAGACAGCCAGGCTCGGATCCAAACATTTCTGTATAATTATCAATCGAATAAGAATATATTTTTCTCTTGTAAAAATTAAAAGTGCTGAGTCATTCTTTTTTAAATTCCCATTTCACTTTTGATTTTAAATGTTGCCATATTTAACAAGTTGGTGCAGCCTTATACAGAATGCATACATGTACATAAATTGTTTCAACTATAGTTCAGTTAAATACTTGTGTACTATGACTACTATATATTATAGACTACACTACACATGATAAAAACCATTATTTCCGGTATATCTAAATTATTCGATACTAATATTATAGAAAATCTGCCTTTATATTCCAATTCATTTGCATCTAATGTAAATTTTTAAAAAAATAGGGAAAGAAAAAAAGGTTTAACAACTTGTGAGGTTCGAACTCGTGATAAAAGTTTAATTTGTATGGCGTCCTATTGACTTTACAAACTTTGTCATCGAGACATTTCAAATTGTTTTTTCATATCTTGAATCATAAATATTCTGTTTTACCTATTCTGACAAAAGTCGTAAAGTTCTGTGTACATAAACAACGTCACTCTCACATTATCATAGCGGCACAGTAAACACAACCATATTTCTTGGCATATCTTGGCTAATTATGTGAGAAAATATGTTAACACCATTATAAAATACACTTATTTTTCCCGTTGATTGGGCCGGGACTCTAATCGCAGATTCCTCACAGCTCAAGCGATCGTCATAACCTTAGACCACGGGTATAAGTAAGGAAATATAAGTTAACCAAGTGTATCTAAATTTAGAATGTCCTTGAGGGTTTGAAATCCTTGATTTGTATACATTACAGAAATACACATTCTAAAGGTCCTAGTATAACTAATATTTTGTTAAAATTATCAGTAAAATAAAGAAAACAAATTTAACAAACAATAATAAATGTTCATTAGTATGTATTTTACAATACGATATATGATCGTCAAAAATGTATAACTTTTGTAGTTTTATCCGATTTAACAGATTGGTCAAAAATTCAGATGAGCCGTTTTGTGTCTGAATAACGGTGTTATAAAGTTGGAATGGCATTTTGTTATGTCATTATATTTTCTTTGACTTGCATGGTGCATTTTGAACATTCTTTAAATTATAAACATATTTGTAAACACTGTATAAACGTTAACATGATTTCAGATCATCCATTATTTTACATCTGCATTAACGAGCACTTATATATAACTTGTGGTAAAGCAGATTGTTGATGGTGAAATAGATTATCTAGTACTCGCATTTTAACATTTTATAAATTACTACAGTTTTGAGAATAATGCTGGTTGAACGAATCGGTCACGAGATAAGTTCTACATGTAACACATTGACTGGTGAAGACCTTTCAGAAGTATCTTCTGCTTCGATATCTACGACGACAACTATTCAGCTGTACAAATTTATGCAAGAACTTACACTTATCTTATGCTAACATCTTAATCCAATAGTTTTTTTTTTTGGTTATAAATTACTTTGAATTCGTTGATCAAATTTTCATACATTAAACATTTTTATAGAATATTATATCACGCCGAAAACGTTTATAATCTACGCGGCCCTTAAAAAGGAGAGTGGGGAGGAGGCGGGGTTAAATCCCTATTTTCCTCAAGCCGATTATATTCAGCATATCTTATTTAGTTTGCAAAGAGATATACTTTTTCATATTAATTGTGTAGAAATATTTTATATTTTATATACCAGCTTTTCTGGGACTCAATACTTTTTTATTTTCACATCTAAGATAAGGTCACAATCTTTTCTTTTGTGGTTGGTTTAAATCGCACCAACACAGTATAGGTCATATGGCGACATTTCAGCTTAACTTGTGGTGGAAGACATCAGGTGACCCTTAACATTATTGCAGACACAAACGGGCGTCTGAGTAGAATCACCGACGTTCCGTAAGCTAGCTGGATAGCTTTCTCACATCCAGCCTAGAGAGGCAAAGGTTTTAAAGTCGAAGTCCATAACCACTCGGCCATGGAAGCCTCATATATTATTTTATTTAACTAGATATTATGGTAATTTATTAAGGAATTTCTTCAATAATCAATTATGGGCTTCTGCTAGCGACCAGAACAATCGGTTGTATAAAGACAGTATCAAAGTAATCAGTTTTATTTCAACTTGAAATGGTTTGCCAATACAATAAGTTCTTTAAGGCTGTTATGTGTTATTTGAATATCTTTAAGTGACTATATACATCTATTTAACAAAATATTTCCGAATTATACAGCAATAACAGGATATTAAATTTTCTGCTCCGTGTCTATAATTTTTGTTGTAAAATGATGTTTCTATTGCATATTAAAATCATCAATTATAGACGTGCACGAAACAACACCTTGAGATTTTATGAGTTTCGGACAACCATTTTCATACCAGTACTGTTGAAAAAGTATCTTAAATTTGAATCATGTCAAAATTCTATTCAATATATTCATATTCTAACTTTTAAACAGCTGATCTATTATGTATTTTAAAGTCTTATACCAGGATCACTTAAAGTCTTATAGCAGATTATAAATCACATGATATTGTATAAACTCCATGGTTTACTTGATATAAAATTAATACGTAAAGCGAAACAAATAATCCATGAAAGTGTTCCTATCATCTCTTTAGGAACGCAAACAAGAATTAGATTAGAACTAGACTTGAATATTGATTTAAAAGATAAACTATTTTATCCCAGACAATTGTCATATCTGAATGTAGCGAAAAAATATAAACTGATAACAAATTCCTGAAATTTTGCACAACTATCTAAATGGCAGTCAGCTACACGGAAGGCAGATAGAATTAGGCATTGCTTATCTTGATTGTTAATTATCTTCCATTGAAAATAGTAAAATTTGCAAATTGAAAGGCAGATAATTTTAAAAAATGAGGTCGGTGATCCTGAAATAAAATGTTTCCTATACTGTTTTGTTTTGTTGTCATATCTAATATCATGCACAATTTATATGAATTCTATTTTTCAGTTTTCTTTTTGCTTGATGTCAATGTAACATTTACATAAGACTTTAACTTTTTACTCTAAGCTTGAATCAAATAAATCAAATTTTATTAAAATGAAACGTTTCATACTTATTGTAGGTAACCAATCGCTTAAAAAATATGAAGTAATAGATACGTCTGGTATTAGTTACACAAAACATGACAATGAAATAATTCACCAAGAACTGACTAACTCCCTGCATCTAGCTTCACCTGGGTTCTATGCAAATGTGTTTGTTTTAAAAAGAGATAAATTCACTGCAGAGATTCAAGAGACAAAATACATTATCTTGAAATGTTTTTGTGAAGATGTTAAAAACATATGTTTATTATTCTCACAGGTAGTAACACAGATGAAGAAACGGAAGCATTTATACAAGAAAGACCACACCCAAACTTAACATAATTATTTTATGATTGCTGGGGAGTTTCAGAACAAATGGAAAAATCTATTGTCTGATGCATGAACAAGTTATCTCTCTACTTGATAAAATGTTGGAAGACATACTTGCCGAAAATAAAGACACAATTCTTTCAAGTAATTCCTCAATTCTTGATGAATCATATGCAGAAAATGACAACAGATCGTCATGGTTTCTTTTTTTCAAAGAAAGAGTAAGTATGCAAATTGGATGAAAGGTTCAAATTTATTTTTTTAAATGTACCCGGAAACTAAGTCAGGATCTAATTTCATTAAAGAGACTGAAAGTAACATGGTTTAATCTAATGCAAATAGTTAAGGTAAACAATCATTGATGTGCACACAAACAAACTTTTCGAATACTCTACAGACACGCATACACGCACACACACACACACACGCACGCACACGCACACACACACACATACATTCAGCGGTGGCATAAAAATAGTTTACTGCAACAAAACTGAAATCTTCACGCGGACGCCGACGCTTGGTGAGTTGGACAGCTCTCCATACACTTCGTATAGTCGAGTGAAAAACACAAACACTTGACAGGTTAAAGATGTCGATAGATGGAATGATTGACAACAATAGCTGTCTTGCTGATAATAACGACAAGGCATGTTTATTGATTCACTCGTAATTTAAAAATAAGCAGTGTGACAAACCTAATTCGCTTTCTGTTCTTTTCACACCAACTATCACATCCTTAAAACGAGTCTGAAGTGTATTTCTTGAGAAACCACATGCTGTTTCCTTTAATAAACATGTTTTTCAAATGATTTAAGAGAGCAATATCAACACCAGCATGCTATTTTAAATGTTATCAAACATCATGAAAGACGAATATTGTAAAGATAAAAAAGAAGAAACATTCGATGCAGGTAGTAAAGAGCATCCACAAATGTTTATCATTTACAAAACTGTATTGCAAAAATACAATTTGACCCTTTAAAATGTACTTATGTTCAAATCCAAAGCGACATACATGTAAAATAATTGATTTTCTTTAAGAAACAACATTTAAATTGAAATTATTTGGTGTATATTCTAGCTCTTTTATTGCAATTGAGAATTTTAAGAACTGTTCAAAACAAATAAATATATGTGAGAAAACAATGAAATTTTCGGTTTGATAAAGTTACCAGTTCTGGCTCTTTATTTTCTATAGCATACTCCGCCATTTTGTCGTCAGACGATGATTGCGCTGCAGATACCGCGTTCTGTTTGTCAACTGCATGTCGCCTTAAAACGTCTTTGTCCGTTTCATCTGCAAGCATAAATGTACAATTGTTGTCAATAATGAAACTTTTGTTGTCGTTTTCATTATCTCCGTATGAAATATTTTATAAACTCATCAGAAAAGCTTGTATAACCCGTGGCTCTAAGGTACACTGGTTCAGAGACTACAACTTTACGAAATTGTAAAAAACTAAAGAAATACAGTGGTGCAAAGTCGGTGGATATTATACGCTACACAAAGATTGACATCACCGGTGCGCAACAATACATGACCATATTTCCACTTTTTTTAAGTTCTATTTTTGCATATATTACCAATTTTTGGGTAATTTCCATAGATGTTCTGTGCGGTTTGCATATGTCAAATAACTGTTTTTTTTCTTTTTCTTCACAATATTTTACTTTTGAATACATTTTTTTATTTTTATGAAAAATAGCATGAATCTGGGGACATGCTGATTTTACTTTAATCTATATCAACTTATTCTTTTATATCCGAATCTGTTTTAATGTTATAAAATGTCATTAAGGTACGTTACTTTGAATTTCCTAAGATTTTAAACCATATTTTAAAGTGTTCATATCAAACATAAGTAGGGGTTTTCTGCAAGAAAACACTGGCATTGATAAGGTCCCAATCATTTAAATGAAGAAACTATTTTTGTTATATTTTTGTTATATACTAGAATTTAGACATATTTTACCTATTTCATCAGGAGCCCATTTTTCTGTCTTATATTCGTTTTTAACAGGAGAGCTTGATCCTTCTGAAATGCAGAAATAAGCAAATAAATATTATACAGTTTTATGAAATATTCCAAAACCGATTTAATAAACAAGTGTAAAGACATTTGAAATAATAATAAATTGTATAACACATTTTAAGACTTTCTACAAAAGAATAAATAAATAGAAATAAAATAAAAAATAAAAATAATACTGAGTATGAAAAAACAACAAATAGAGTCATCACTTCATGTTCAAGTTATCTGTCCTTGAACTTTTTTTCATAATCTAAGGCCATTTAGATTTAACGGTAGATAACTGATACATAAAGCTTACAAAACCTATTTTTCTATTGGTTTATGTTAATATATTAGAAAATTCAATTACACATACGGGTTCCATTGATTAAGTATGGATACTGAATATTCTAAATAGGCCATATATTTGAAAGAGAATGGACCTTGATGTAATGAAGAAAAAATAAACAACTTAATCTTCCCTTTTTACAGTTCACGAAACTTTGAACAGTCACTTAGATTGAAGTCAGCAATGATAATAATTTTATCCGACACAAAACTCCCTTCGGGCTTATACAGATTACGGACGCAGCTAGCAGCGACTTGGGTTTATTCATACTTTAGAGACATAATGTCACAATATTGATTAGAAATTGAAAAATACGGGATAGCTGTCGGTGGGTTTGTGAGCCTAAGGGAGTTTTGTGCCGGAAACAGTATTATGATCAACATTCGCCTTCCCCTTTCTAATTGTAAGTCTCGCTTAATCAATCAATTTTCTCTCTTATGGGCCCCGCAGATTTTTTTTGTCATATATTGTGAACAAATAATAATATAACGCATAATTATCTTGAATATTTTCTTTCTCGGTAGTAATATCTTTATGAGAATCCAAAATATAAAAACATGTTTGAATATGATAATATAATGTTCATAAGTCTATTGGTTAATCCGTACAGTAGCTCTCTAGAACCTTGTTCTGAAATGTATTTGCCTCCCTGTTTATCAATGGCTTATTATAAAATTTTGCAAATACTGATACATTACTTCATCCTGCATATTTTATAATATCTGTCAATATCATTTCTTTTCGAAATGCACAGGAAGACGAAGCAGATGTAGTATTATGAGGTTTAAATTGATTTGGAATGCATGTTCTAAGCATTGTCAGTTATTTTCAATGTGACAGAGTTTGTTTAGAAACTGATTTGTAAGGTGGTGTCGTAGATATCAATAATCTCTCACTATTTCTCAATGCTTTTGTACGTTCTTTGAGTTGTCTAACAGTTTCTACGATGCATAATGTTTTACTTAATATGTAAATTTGAAGTTTCATTGGTTCAATATGTACACCTGGTCGTGTTTGGTTTATAACCTGAAAAACGTGATAACAACACAGTTTTCAGTGTAGAAAATATCACTCATCTTGATTATATGTAGAGTTTAAAAGCGTTGCACAGTTACCAATAAAAATAAACATACACAATTTACAACTTAAAGCCATTAAAGAAGAGGTGTCTAGATTTTGCTAAGTATTCTAATACCGTCGTACATCCCATGTTGATTTATATCTCGGTAATGATGATCTTAGATAAAAAATTTCTTTTATGAAACTGCTTATTATCTCGTCGTTATGAATGTCTATTTTTCCTCGTTATCTTTACAAAAGTGCTAATTGCTGAACGAGCAGTATTAATAGCCGTGTTACTTAATCCTCGTTGATACAAATCGGTGAGAAATTTTATGACTATACTGTTAGGCAGATTAAAGGGATTTGCTTGTCCCTTGCAATAAGATAACTATTGCGTAATAGACGTGTTATATTGCTTAAGTGTGCTGTCTCTCCAGGAGTAAATGATATGGTCTTGAGCGTCTTCAGGTAGTCCCTGTTTTCGTAAGATTTTCCGGATATATTGAAAGCAATCAGCCTTGTTTTTCTGAAAGGATACGATTTTCCTTTTTTGTGTTCTAATTTTAGGACCTTCTGTTGAGTTGGTAGTAAATAACACAGACCTTTGATCAGCGATAAAAAAGTTGGCCCCAATGTTTGAGTTGGGCATACTGGAGCTTTTTTATCGCTTGTGTGGAACCTTCTTCTATGTTTGTAATATTATTCCTCAAATAATTCCACTTACATTTATGATTTTTTGTCCTTTTTCATTGACCGTTGGTTTTGAAATTGATTGTAGCTGCCCTTATTCTTTCACGATCGGTGAGATGGAAACGCTTGGTTGTAATGCTGACGGTTTTGCGCCCCTCCCTTCTTGAACAAAAGGCGTCTTGTTTGGAACATTTGACGTTAGAACTGTTTTGGATTCCATCAATGAATTTATATCGTCTTGCATCCTTTCGCCAAACAATTTCCTTGCTGATGACTGGTTTGTGCACAGTGGTCGATATTACGGCAGTAAGTCCCGCTTTATTCTCTCTTTTCGTGCGTATTTGAACTAACAACTGCTTGTGCTAGAATCTTGTATGCATCACCAGTCAACTCCTTGAACTCTGATGAAACATTTTGTTTCTTGAAAAAGTCCATCATTTTGAGAACTGGAACTATAGCCTGGCAAAGAAATAATTGTGACCGCTGCATCGCGATATCAACGATTTGGTTTCGCGCTGAAGTTGCCTCCACAATTGTTTGTTAGCTTTCGGTATCTGGAGGTTTTCTATATTTTTCGGTCTTTTGTGGTTTGTTGTTTAAATTTTTTATTTTTCCACTTTTGGCCGTAGCACTTTGTTTGTCAGCTTGTCAAGTTCCGTTGATATTTCATCACCAGTTTCTTCGCTATCGATAAAATAGTCGTCAATATCCCACCATTCTGAACTGTCTCCCTCTTGCACCACTTACTGGCAGGTATCCAATTATGAATTGACCAGGTCTTGGAACAATTGCTATCCCGGGAAATACGAGGCCGCTTAGCTGATTGATTGGCTAAATGAAGAAACCCAAGTCGCTGCTAGCTGCGTCCGTCATCTGATTGGCCCATAAAGGAGTTTATGTGTCGGATAAAATTTGGTTTTACATCTGAAATTGTTCACATGGCCAAAATATCATAGCTGCTTATAAAAAGCCAAAGGAGGTTACTTCATCATAATCTTTGTAAGCTGATACCAATCTTAAACTGCGCACATGACCTAAGTTTTATGCCTGTACGTCAAAGAAAGGGACAGTATGTCACTTTGTCAAAAACTAGGTCAGCTAAAATCAAATTTCAAATTACATTTTAAACTATACACATAGTCCAAATTTCATAACTATACATCAAAGAACAAAAAGATAGGTCACCCGTTGAAATCGTATTTAGCTGATATTCAAATTCAATTTTACATCACAAACTTTGCACATATTCCAAATTTTATGGGTATACATCAAAGGGCAAGAGAGCAGGTGATTCTGTCCCTTTGGGCAAGGCAAAAGTTTGATCCGAGGGTTTAATTAAAACAATCTTTGAACAGGTCTTCCAGACAATGTTTACCGCTAAATACCTAAGCTCTAGCTTTCACCTATTCAGGAAACAGTTGTTTTAGTTTCTGTTTCTACTATATGTACATAATGAAAATTAATGACCCCCGGGGCGGGGCAATTTTTAACCTCCGTAGAGGTCCTCTACACAATTTTTCATGCACAATATCTATCCTCTAGCCTTTGTCAATTCAGAAAGGAAGATTTTATTAAGTTTTTACTATATGCATGTAAGGAAAACCTATGATCCCCGGTGCAGGGCCAATTTTAACACTAGGGGTAAAATTGGAGCAACTTTGGTGGAAGACGACTCATAGATGAAATTATATACCAAATATCAAAGTTCTTAGCGATGTTTCTTAAGACAAGAAGAGTCTTTAGCTTTAACTATATGTACATAGCGAAAATCAATGAACCCCGGGGCGGGAACAATTTTGACCCCCAAATTTGAACAATCTTGATAGAGGTCTAACAGACAATGCCTTATGCAAAATATCTTTGCTCTAGGCATTGTGGGTCTTTACAAGAAGTTCTTTAAAATTTATTTTTATGATTTCTAATCGTTAGAGATGTCAATTTTTTAACAACATTGGAAGCCTTTTACCCACGGAACAATCCTGCCAAGTTTGGTTTAAATTGCACTATACAATCTGTAAAGCAAACACGTACACGCACGCACGCACACAGGCACGCATGCACACTCACATACACACACACACACTCTCTCAGTCACGCATACACACACAGACGAACGCACGCACAGTTGTGAATCTCTAAAAGACATCAATCGTCTTATTTTTGTCAAGTACTTGCCCCTTAAATAAGACACTTTTCAAATTCTAGGACAAAGCACTCAAAAGAAGGTCGGTGACCTTTTTTATGGTTCAAAATAAATTATTTAATGTAGTGTTCATTCTGCTATATGTTTATATGTTATTCTAGCGGGCATTTTAATTAATCAAGAGCCACCGCTGGGTGGGGGCAACGCTCGCATTCTTTACTTTTTTCCAAAAGCAAACAAAAAAACATTTTAAACTAACTAAAAAGAAATATAAAGGGAAAAATGAGGTTTTATTTTAGTATGTCTGTCTAGTTGCACTTGTTGTTTTGTCCAAGTTTGAAATATTTCCATAAATCATAAGATAAAGTTAAAAAAAAAAAGTAAAATTCAATCATCTGACCTGAAAATCAAAGTCCTTGAAAGGTCAAACTAATTTCTCAAGATGTCGTTAACGGTCAGAAGTGGTCCACGTATGAATAAAATTCTTAAATAGATAACAAAATAATGACAAAATTCAATCATTTGACCCTGATGGTCAAAGTCATTTAAAGCTCGGGGTCAAGGTTAGTTCAACCTTTTGAAGGTCTTGTTAAAATTGTTGTTTCGCCACGTATAAAGTTTGGATGAAATTGCACCAGCAGTTTCTTAGGAGTAGTCCGGACAAGCTTATGTGTTCCTGGCAACACAAAAGACAATTTGTTATATTTCAAGCTTCATGACTCAGCCAAGAATTATTCAACCGTAAAACCTGTGTAAAGTAACAATACAGTGCCTCTTTGTTCGAAAAATGACAAGCTTAAAAGATATAAAAAAAAAAACCTTTTTATTAAAAGGGACATAACTCAGCCAAAAATCGTTTAACCGAAAAACCTGTGTTATGTAACAAAACAGTACATGTATTCTTTTTCTTCAAAAAATGTCGAGCTTAAAAGAAATCATTTTAATCAATCGCATAAAACAAAAAGTGTTTTGAGTAGCAGTACCTGTTTTTTTAAACACATTATGAAGTTCCATCTTTTCAGGAATCAGTCTTATTGATACAGTTTCATTGAACTCCGCTGACATCTGTTCTGCAATTCTATTCAGACTATTTGTCGTCTTTTCCAGTTTTATCGCATTTAGTACTGAACTTATTCCGTCCACAGATGAACACTTGAGTGGAATACGTATTTGTTCACTTGATGATTCACAAGTGGTAGCTGTATAAATATATTAACAAACTACAAGTGAAACAGAATCTTTTCTCTTAATATTATAGTAACATGGGATATATTTGAGTTTGTTTTTCAATCAATACAAGTAAATATGTTCCACTATAAGTGCAACTTCATTGTTATAGTTTCCTTACAGACGTGATACAAATGTTATTTCACTTTAGATCGGATTTAAACGTCAGATATTACATTGAAAAATATAAGTAATAAAGGATCTTAAATACAGAATAGATATTTTTTTGCAATACAAAATTAGTTTAACAGATTTAAATGATTTGTGGTAAATATGGTTTGTATGCTCTATTTTACATTTTTTTTAAACTTTCCTTAAAACCCCTTGGGAACAAACTTTCAAGTGTTTTTTTTTCCCCTTGTATAGAAAAGCATACCCAAATGTAATGCATCTCATAACTACGTTTGAAATATGGTTTTCAAAAAGGGAATTCGCCTTTCTGGGGAACTCTAAATTTTAAAGGGGGTAAGCCCCCAAAGGGGGAAAAACATTTTAATGACCAAAATGATCATTTTCGATTTAAACTTTCAACCGGTGCACATCGGGATGGGGGCAATAAATAGCTATTACTTTGTTTTGTTTTTTCCCCTTTAAATAGGACCAACGGGGATCTGTTTTTTTGTTTTGGAAAGCTTGAGGGGGTTTGAAAGCCCGGCTTTCTTTCTTTATTTCTTCTTTTAAATGTAAAAAAAGTTTAAAAACTCCAACACTGAAACGGAGCAGAAGAAAAACAGAGCTCCGATGAAACATATGAATGTATGTTGTAAAACACTACTACTGAAATCGTATTATGAGTAAAATTTGCAGATATTGTTAAATTTTGATGTAATGATTTATTTTATCATCTAATTTAGACTCACCACATCCTTTATCAAATTTGAAATCTTTTTGGCTCAACTTGTTCAGCATATCTCTCAATTCTTTCATTGTTTCTACAAAAGAAATGTAATTATATCTTTATGTATAAACGTTTAAAAAATAATCACAAATTTACATGTTTTATGTTTAAGAAACAATACAGATAAAAGCGTTAATATTATTCTGACGCACTTATTAAAATATCTATTGGTACCTAGCTATAAGCACTCTTAGAAATAAATAAATGACCGTTGTAAACACTTTCCCCAAAATTTTTACTTCAAAAAAAAAGATTCTTTTAAGCTTTTTAAAAAATCCTTAAAGCATCACCCCCCTCCTTCGGGTTCTTTTAGGTAAATTTTCAAAAAAGGGGGATTTTCACTTTTTGTTTTCACCCTCAGAAAAGGGTTGTTTGGGAAAGATGTTTTTAGACTTTTTATAAGATAAATTTCCAAATTTTGTCAGAAAGAAATTTTGTATCTAGAGACGCAACGAAAAGTGCCAGCTTTAAATTTTCCAAAGCAAAAATTTTATGCGCCGTTTTAACATGTTTCCCCTTTTCACTTAGCTCCTCATAAAAATGGGGCAAAAAAAGATCTAGTTTTAAAACCCCCCAAAATTTTTTTAAAAATCGAACAAAAACTCTTGGGGTTTAACCCAACTGGAAAAAATCCCCTTCATTATTTCTGCTCAGCGTTTCCTTCTTTCTCCGAAGAAAATCCGAAAGGTCTTGGCCACTCAACTTTTTCTCCAGTATCCCGCATAACACGATACGCCCTCCATCGAACAAAAGTTTTATGTAACGTACGTAACTCTCAGGTGTGGTTTTTTGAAAAAATATCTGAAATTCTACAATTAATATTGCTGCCCATCTTTAAATTATTGAGAGAAGAGAGAGAGAGAGAGAGAAGATATGAGAGGAGAAGAAGAGAGGAGAGAAGAGAGGGGAGAAGAGAGCGGAGAGAGAGAGAGAGAGAGAAAGGTAATGGCAAAATTTTGAGGTACGATGGACGTTATGTATGTGTGTGTCCCAAAATGGTCGAGTGGAGACAGACAAAATACATTATTTTCTTTTCAACCTGAGGTCATAAAGATTAATAAAAATTTACCAGATATCTTCCTTTTTGGTCATATTAATATTTACCTACTTAAAGTCAATAGCCAATATATTAGGTAACCGCTTTTTATCAAAGGGTTTATATATTAAACCAGTAACAAACATACCCGGAAGTACGATAAAATATCAGTCAGTGTTTGCGAGCATGCTTCTTAAAAAACATAGGCCTTGTAACGTTCCAGCGATAAAAAAAATTTATGCAAATAAAACCTTCCTGTGGAATGACGTTATTCATTTTTACGTTAAAGATTCACCAAACAGACGTGTACTATTTTTAAACGTTACTTTTTAAAAAATCTGTAAGCATTAATGGTAACAGCAATGCTATTTTGAAAATTAAAAGGCGACGTCGGGGATGAAAAATGCGGCGCAGCCCATGTTCATTTGAATAAATCTGGGTTCATTCAAGAAGCCGTCCAGCAATTTTAATTACAAAAGGAGAACAAATTATTCTTTTTCCCAAATAATGCACTTTCCATAGAACTCGAAGGACACAGTTTAACTTATTGGAAAGAGGGTTTTCAAGACTTCCCATAACCTTAGAACTTTTGCAGTGTTTCCTTATTTAAAATCCCCAAATTTACGAGTCACAGGGGTTTTAAAAAATCAGCGAACTCAGCCAGGAATTTTACGAGCTTTTAAAGGGCATTAAAGGAAAAATTTTGAAAAATTTTTTATGGAAAACAAGGTTTGCCCGGGTACCGAAAAGGGGGAACAAAAAGCACGGGAATCTTTGGGGAAAAAAATTTTAAAAATCTTAAAACGTCAAAGACCAACGGCGTTTTCGCCAGGTTTTAAAGGGATGCTTTTTAAATTTTAATAACCCCTTTTGGAAACTTTGAGGGATTTAAAATTTTTTTCGCATAGCCCCCTCATAAAAAAATTTTTGAAATTTCCCCTACTTGGACGGGTCTATTTGGTTAAATTTTTTAGAAAAAAGTTTTTTGTTTTACATATTTTGGGAAAAAGCTCGTTTTCATTTGAAGGGAAAAAAAATTTCCAATTAATAAGGGGGGAAAAAAAGCGACAATTTAAATTACAAACCTTGTGAATCTTTCTACTCAATTTCTTCAACCTTATTAATAGAAAGAATAAACATGAATTTCAATGCAAATAAACTACCATTTATCGAAATGAAAGTTATTATTATTGTCATGGTTTAAGTTTTAAAATTTAATCCAAAGCCCCATTTTGACTTTATGAATAGCAGGGCCTTATCAAAATTCATAGTAACAAATTTTGAAATTAACTACAAGTTTACGTTTTCACATATTATTTGAAAGCTTACATACGCCAAAGATTGTCGAAAAATTTCGAGATAGGGTGTTAATATCGAATGCTTAAAATAAAAAATGACGTACAAATAGAATTTGTGTTTATATTGAAAAAGTTGGGATAAATATCTGTAACTACTGAAATAAAACGTAATTTGAAAGCATTGACCTTTTCTTGAAGGTGATCATATTCCCTTTTGTAGTTAAGCAACTCATCCAGTAACCTCTTAACTTCAGCATTCTCTGTATCTACATTAAGGCGTTTGTATTCATCTATTCTTTGTTCAAAGTTTTCACTCGACTTTGAATCAACTAGTTCAACCACTCGCAATAAGATAGCTTTGATTTTTGCCCACGTCTTTTCATATTCTGCCTCCGACAATTTGGCATCTGATCGATGACCTATAATCTTATTTCTGACATCTCTCAATCGAAGAAGATCAGCACCAAGACTTTCGTCTTTCGGGTCTAGTTTAGTTTCCCAGCCGCGCTGTGGTTTAGGTATCTTGTCTTTACACAAATTCAGTATTAGTCTTATCAAAAGAGAAATATCGAATCTCTCTAGATTTAAAATTTGACCAGATACAAGATTAAAGTCAGACTTGTTTATGACATTTTTTTGCAATTGTTCCCTCAATATATTTTGCTGCTCTTGAGATGTGATAAAGCCTGTGATGTCTTCACTCTTTATCAAGAATTTGAACACTTTAAATAACACCTCTCTTGTCAGGTCTGTGTACATAAGACTAGTTCTAATGTAATACGTTCTCTCTTCGGATATTTCACACATGACGAATTAGAATTTATCAGCTTTCATTGAAAGAGAAATAAGTGTTTGAAATACAGTTTCCATCACCAAACGTTCTGGAATAAGTCTAAATAAGACATGATCATCTTATTGCTGAAATATATGTCAAGTTAAAAATATAGAAGAAATAAGACTTTATATATCTAATGTAAGTTGAAACATATTCTCGTTTGAAAATCGTTTGAAAATCAAAGGCCTGAGGTCATTGACGTTGTTCGTATCATCAAACTTTATAAAAGAAAAATGTTTCAACATTTGTATGCAACACTGACAGAACTATCAAACCTATTTTGTGTTTCAATCAACCACTGGTGTATAGATTCAATAATAAATTGAGTTTGACGAAATAATAATGATGTATTTAATACAATAATTATTTAGTTGCAGGTATAATAATTCCTACTTTTCAAAGTTTGTCAATAAAACAGGAGCACTTTGGAACGTAACCACAGATTAAAATGCATTTCCCTGGTTTTGTATGATTTTTAAATAATCTTTTCAAATATTAAATTGAAAGAGAAGAAATAATACATGAATTTCTATTTTAGTTTCCTATCATGTAAATTTAAATAATATTTAATCTTTTCTACTAATTGCTCTTATTCAAGTATAAGGGGCATACATCTTTTAAAATGTTAAAAAAATATTTATTCTAGTTTATTTTGCAACTTTCACAAAACACAAAACGTATTAAGTTTAACTTAAACGAAAAGCAAATGATCAGAAACAAACAAAAAATAATTATTATACGAATCTTACAACCTTATAAAAGAAATAAGTGCTATATTCACTCTCCATCACCAAACGGTCTAAAATAAGTTCAAATAAGAAATGATTATCTTATTGCTGAAATGTATGTCAAATCAGACAATATATTTCATGATTAAATATTGTAAAGAGGAAAATATCAAAATTTATGACTCTTAGCGTAAGCGAGCTGCTTTAATAAAATGTGAAAATGAATACGAACATTTGTAATTCTGAAAGGACTTGATCTCAGATCTTGTATTCATCTCAAGAAATGGAAAATTAGGATTTATTTCAAAACTCAGGTAACTCTCAGGCGGGGTATATGAACAATATAGCGGATGAAATGACAGGTAGCAGTCAGTGGTCAACAGTACCAAACAAAGGAAAACGTAAACGAATCAACACTGGTAGTGTCAATTTTGAATCCTATGAAACAATGACACCAGACGAAAAGCAGAATGTGTTATTTAACAAAAGGATTAATATAGAGAAAGGACAAGATTCGTCAATTTTGAAAATCACTGATTTAACGGGTCAATCCAAAATGTAAACAGTAAAATCGACACACATAACACATATTTCATACAAAGTTATCGATTTTGAAACAAAAATTAGAAGAAACTCGAAATGTGTCCATAGAACACGGGTGCCCCCACACTCCTCTGTTTTGTCAATCTGATGACTCTATGTCAAATATTTTGGGCTACATGTGCCACAAGTTGAAAACTAAAAGTCTTTTACTTAGTAAAGGACATGAACTTAACAAATACTAAATAATTCCACAAGCGAACCCCAAGGTGCATAAGTACACATGGTGACCAACATTCTTGTAAACTTTCAGGCCTACAGGTCCAATACTTTTTGAGTTATTTTTAAGTCGAGGGCAACTACTCTAACAAAACTGAAAAAAAATCAACATGCAAAATCCCAGGTGCATAGCCTCACAGTGATGTTGACCATTATTCCTGTAAAGTTGGTTGATTCTAACTCAAGCACTCAATAAACTAATAACACAACATTATGAAACGGTTTTTACTAAGTCAAGGGCAATAACTCTACAAATACTGGATAAACCCAAGGTGCACAACTACACAAGCTGACCAACATTCCTGTTAAGTTTTACGACTCTACGTTAAATACATTTTGAGCTACGAACGACACACAATGAAAATTGCAAATTTTCACTTAGTCAAGGGCAATAACTCTGACAAACATAAAAATCACGAGCGAGACCCTAGGTGCACAAATTTGCATGCTAATCAACATTTCTGTAAAGTTTCATGGCCCTATGTCAAATACTTTTTCAGCTACGTGTGACATTAGTTGAAAATTGCAAATATTTACTAAGTCTATGACAATAACTCTACAAATACTAAAACAATCCACACATAAATACCCAGGTGCAAAACTACACATTCGTATTAACATTCCTGTTAAGTTTCATGAATTTAGGTCAAATACATTTTGAGCTACGTGTGACACAATTTAAAAATTGCAAATCTTTACTTAGTCAAGGGCAATAACTCTAAAAATTCTAAATAAATTCACATGAAAATACCCATGTGCACAACTACACATGTTAATCAACATTCATGTAAGGTTTCATGAACCTAGGTCAAACACTGTTTGAGCTACCTGTGACACAAGTTGAAAATCTTTACTAAGTCAAGGGCAATAACTCTGTGCCAAAACATAATAAATTCACAAGCAAAACAAAACAGGTGCACAATTTCACATGCTGATCAACATTCCTGTAAAGTTTCATGACTTTGGGTCAAACACGTTTGAGTTACGTGTGTCACAAGTTAAAAATTGCAAAATTTTACTAAGTCAAGGGCAATAACAATAAAAATACTAAATATATCCACATGAAAATAAACAGGTTCACAACTACCCATGCTGAGCATCATTCCTGTAAAGTTTCATGACCCTAGGTCAAACACTTTATGAGCTACATGTGACCCAAGTTGAAAATTGCAAACTTTTACTAAATCAAGGGCAATAACGCTAACAAAACAGAATTAATCCACAAGCGAAACCCCAGGTGCGCAAATTCAGGTCAAATACTTTTAAAGCTACACGCGACGCAAAATGGCATAAAAAGGTGATAATCTATGGCCTGGAGGAGAGATACACGAGCGAAATGCAACATATGATTACTTAAATTATTTCTTTAACCAGAAAATGTATATTGACTATGATGCTTTGCATATTGAATCTGCTGAGCGTCTTGGGACTTTAAACTGTTACCGTAATAATAATACAGCGAAAAAGTGTACACTCATAGTAACATTCCGTTATCCACACAATGTTGACACTGTCACAATCAAGTCTGTATAATATATCCACAGTGCCGATACAAAAAACTTCGCAAAATACAAAAAGAGTTGAAACAAACCTTAAACAGGTAAAACCAACAGAAAGTAAACAAACATCACGTGATAGGCCAAAATCTAGGTCGACATCATTAGCCAGTCAACGAAGACTTCGGTCTGTCAGTACTCTTTCATCGAAATCTACGTCATCAAATCAACCAACGGAAAACGCGCATCAATCACAGAGGTCAAAGTGCGCTGACTAGCGGGGTTCAGGCGGTGTTCATGTAAACATTGCATGTGATAATAATGTTGTGAGATTCGCTTTATTAAATGTACAGGGACTGATCTCTAAACGTGTTATTAAATTAAAGAGTGTAGAATTTTCTGACATTTTAACAAAAATAACATTATTTCTTTTACGGAAACATGGGGAGGTTTTGAACATGATTTTTATGTAGAAGGCTTTCAACATTTTATTGTAAATTGAGATATAAAACTAAATGAAACGACTAGGAATTTGGGTGGTCTGCTGATCTATGTAAGAGACAAATTTGTGACAAAATATGTTTATTCCGATTCACATTTATGGTTAAGATTTCAGTCTCAATATCTTAATTTTTGAACAGACCTGTTTCTTTGTTTATGCTAATATATTGTATTAACAAATTCAAAAAGAAACATGCAAGTTGATGTCAATATATACGATACAATTATACACACTGTTTTATATATTCAAAACATGTATGGATATGACAATTGTACATTTATGCTCATTGGCGATTGAAACTCGAAAATTTGTTCTCTTACCAGATTCAATGATAGCTGTGGCAATAGCAGAGAACGATTTTATCAAAAATTTAATAACTATAGGCGCAATAAAAGTTACATAAATAGAAAGGGAATGATAGAAGCAATAAGTATTTATCAGAATAATGTTAGGAATTTTAATTATGAAAAAAAAAAAACACAAAGAAAACACTGATAAATTACTAAATGCCAAATATAAAAATGCTAGACTTTATTGGCGCATGATTATGGAAACAGTTGCACCAAAGGCACCAAAAGATATATCAAATTTCAAAGCAATTAATAATCCTGATGACTCATTTTTTTTCGAAACTGACGACGATGTTATATAATTAAATGAGAAAGTTAAACATGTTTTCTGAATTAGATGTACCGTTTTCTCGTTTAGATATTTTGAAGGGCATATCAGATCTGAATTTGAATAAGAACGGAGCCCGAACAGAAAATTTACCAAACTTCTTAGTCATGGAAAAATATTTTAACTTGGTAGGTCTCATTGTTCCTATACATAAAAAGGAAGCTTGTCTGAAGCTGAACCTTTTAGAGGTGTAACACTTTTAAGCGTTATCGCAAAATTATTCACACGTTTTATAAATACAAGGCTTACAAATTGTGCAGAAAATTATTACGTTTACATAGAATCTCAAACAGAATTTAGAGCCAAAATGGTCACCACTGACAACATTTTTGTTTTACATTGTTTGATTAATCATACTATTAATAATAATAAACAACAATTGTTTTGTGTATTCATAGATTTTTAAAATCATTCGACTATCTAGAAAGAGAAAACATTTGGTATAAACAATATCAATTGTGACTACGTGGTAGGCTCAATAATGTTATTAAATGTCTTTACAGATGTGTCACATCTAGAGTAAGATTAAATTATAACGTCGGAGAAATATTCGAAAGTTATTTAGGAGTACGACAGGGCTAAAGCCTTTCTCCTTTTTATTTTCAATGTATCTAAACGATCTCGAAGACGAGTTTTATCTAAAAGGGTCAAAATACGTAGACATTGGTTGCTTGAAGTTATTTTTGTTAATGTATGCTGATGGCAATCCAATATTTGCTTCTTCAAAAGATGAATTACAAGATAATTTTAATAGTTTGCATAAGTATTTAATCGTTGGAAATTATGTTTTAATAAGGCTAAAACAAAAGTAATTGTTTTCATG